AATTAATGAAATTAATGAAATTAATGAAATTAAAGAAATTAATTAATTTCTTTAATTTCTTTAATTTCGCACAGAGAGGCCCAGAAATTAAAGAAATTAATGAAATTAATTAATTTCTTTAATTTCTTTAATTTCTCACAGAGAGGCCCCGAAATTAAAGAAATTAATGAAATTAATTAATTTCTTTAATTTCTTTAATTTTTCACAGAGAGGCCCAGAAATTAAAGAAATTAAAGAAATTAATTAATTTCATTAATTTCTTTAATTTCTTTAATTTCATTAATTTCTTTTAATTAGTCTCGCAAGCCCGAAGGCTACCGGAATTAATTTCTTTAATTTCTTTAATTTCTCACAGAGAGGCCCAGAAATTAAAGAAATTAAAGAAATTAATTGGGGGAGCCCCCCCGGCTCACGGGACTAATTAAAATAAATTAAAGAAATTAATGAAATTAAAGAAATTAATTAATTTCATTAATTTCTTTAATTTCGCACAGAGAGGCCCAGAAATTAAAGAAATTAATGAAATTAATTAATTTCTTTAATTTCATTTATTTCCCTAAGAGAGCCCCAGAAATTAAAGAAATTAAAGAAATTAATAGGTAAATAAATTAAATTCCTCATACAAGTGATATACGTGAAATGGACCCAAAAGGTCCCTCTCACATATATATATATATATGCACATGTATATTGCACAACATTTTCCTGCATATTTCCTGTAGACCCTGCTAGCAACCCCCCCCCCCCCCCCCCCGCCCCCCCCGCCCCACATGACCTGAGGGTTCAGGGCTTCCAGCTGGTACCTTCATGGAGGTAGGGTTAGGGTTAGGTTTTGGGGTGGGTTTAGGTTTCCTTCGCGCTAAGGGTCCGCCCTATAAACTCTATGCAAACTATACACCCCATTCAACCCCATAAACCCTGTAAACCCTGCAACCCCCATAATCCCTACAAACCCCAAGCCCCTAAACCCTGTGAACACCCTACACCCCCAAACCCTAGAAGCCTTGAGCCTCTAGGGCGAGGGCCTCAGGGTGTTTGCGGTTAGTAGGGCTTCAGATGTACGGGCCCTTAGAATCTACAGGGGTATATCAAAGGGGTACCCTTGTAAGGGCCCATACTGCGCCCTGGTTCTTAGTAGGTAATGAGGGAATGAGGGCCCCATATATACCCTTAAAGGGATTATATAGGGCCCTCATTCCCTCATTCCCTACTAAGAACCAGGGAGATTACCCTAGGAGAGTGTGCTGTTGGTAGCGGGTAGCGCCTCTCGCTCCCCTACGTGCGCCTGCAGGCGACCGGGGACCAATGGTCGGTAGAGTAGCTCGCCTTCTGGTGAGGCCGCTCTCAACCCTGAGAGACTAAACCCAAAACTCTAAACCCTACAGGGTTATTTTGGGGTTCAGGGGGTTATCTTATATAAACCCTACAGGGTTATTTTGGGGTTCAGGGGGTTATGTTATAAAGGGCCTGAAGGTCGACTGGAGTAGGAGGCTCCTTGGGCCCACTTGGGTTTGGAGGCTTCTGCGCAGTTTATAGGTTTAGGGTTTCGGGTTTTGAGTTTTGGGTTTTTGGCTGGCCCGGTTGTTTTTTGTGTCATGGTGTTTTTGTTTTTGTGTTTTTTCTGTAGGGAGGGTGCTTGTCGAATTTCTGTTGGCCTGTTCGTTTTATGTTCTGAACCTAGAAGCTTTAGGGTTTAGGGCGCGTTTAGGTTTTTTAAACGAGTAACCCAGCAGCCGAGATGATTTTCCTATCCCCTGATCATCTCTGTCTAATACCCATTCTCACCAAGCAGGCCTCTCAACATTGAATCCTAAAGCATAAGCCCCCTAAACCCCAAACAACCCTAAACCCTGGACCTCAAGACCCTAAACCCAGAACCCTAAACTCTAAGCCCTAGAACTTCAGACGCCCTAAGCGGTACACTCGAACCCTAAACCCGTGGGGGTCGGAGGCTCGGGTCCCATTCAAGCTGTGGGTGTGTGTGTGTGTGTGTCTATTTGGATTTTCTATACCTCAATACGAACAGTCCGTAATTGGGATTATAGTACCCCCTAATATAATCTACTAATGACTGTTAGTATAGGGGGGGGAACCTCCCAAGATTTTAGTATTTGCATACATGAGTTTGCATCCTTGCCTGGGTCTGCGGCGGGCGAAGATACTGAGCTAGATGTTTGCAGTGTGCATTCCTGATTGGGCGGTGCATTGGCTGCAGGAAATCTAAGGCAGCATGTCTGTCAAGATGGTTCCTATTCAAGACATGCTGTAGTCCTTGGGTTCTCAGCGTGTCCAGAGCTCCCATATAACCCCAACTGCCATTCCATATCCCCTTGTGAACTGCTACTGAACTTACTACTATTTGCTTAAGCACCCCGCAAAAACACAACATAATATTCCCCGTATTACCCTTATTATAAGGAAGTGTTTATACCTTTTTTTTGGGGGGGGTGTCCTTAAGCAAATGGTAGCTCAGCAGCTGCATGTCTTCATAACGTTCCGCAGCCTGCATCGCCAACCAGACTCTTCTCTCTCTACACCTGAAACCCAGCACTTTGCCCCCCCTCGACCGCTTGGAACTCTACAAACTCCGTGTATCCAAAAACATTATAAGCCCTACAAGGCCTATAAGCTCTCCAAGCCCTACAGGCCCTACAAGCCCGACAAACCCCAAACCTTTCGCCCTAAAAGCCCTATAAACCCTACAAGCCCTAAACCCTACAAACCCTATAAACCGTAAACCCTAGGCTCCATAGGCCCTATGGGCCCTGCCTATAAACCCTATAAACCCTACAAGCCCTATAAGCTCCATAAGCTCTATGGGCCCCTAAAGGCCCTGTAGGCCTTATAAGCCCTGTAAAGCCGAAACTCCGGCCCCGGAGCTTCGGATGCCCTGCCGGAAATCTCTGCAGGCCTGGTGGTTGGCTCATAATCAGCGCGCAGAAGGACAGGGTGGTCGTTTAGGGTTTGTGGTTGAAGGTTCAGGGTGTCGGATTTTAGGGTTTAAGGTTTAGGGTGTAGGATTTTAGGGTTTGGGGTTGAGGGTTTCTCGGTTTTGACATCTATGGACCTCTTGTAGTTGGGGGCGCTGTACGACAAAATAGGGGGGGATAGCCTAGTGCACACTACTTCTAACATGGCTTACCAAGAAGGCTTTCTTGCTGATAGTTCTGTATAACAATTATGGCTTTATTACGTCCGAAATAGCCAAAATGCTTTCAGGTATACAGTACAAAGAACTTCATAGTATAATAGCAGTTCAAGATAGTGATACTCTAATGACACACAGAAGAACATGGCAGCATTCATCATGAAGAGATAGGATCCCAAAGCCCAAACCTAGACCTTAGACCCCCTGAAACCCTAAACGTGGGATGTTCCTCCTCATACTAACAGTCACTATAATCCCTATTCAGGACTGCTAGCATAAGGGGGAACATCCCAACCTGACACCCTAAAGCCCTGAAGCCCAGAAACCCTCAACCGTCGTGGTTGGTGAAAGGGCAGAGAAGGCCTCGACACGTTCCAGCGCTTGCTGTGTGGCGCCCTCGGGTGCCCCCCTGGCGTGTTCCCTCACGTGGTGGGGGGGGGGGGGGGGGTTCAGGGTTACCCTAAACCCTAAACCCTGAACCCTAAACCCTGAACCCTGAACCCTAAACCGGGTTTGGGGTCCCTTTGTGTGTTGGGGGTGTATGAATTCAGGTTCACACTTGCTTTCACACTTGCTCAGCTTTACTACCAAAGCTTTCCTCCCGGGAGCTTTCGGGGTCTAGGGGACCCCCCACAAAAAAAAGGACAAACCAAAAACACAACGCATGACCCTAAACCCTAAACCTAAACCCTAAACCCAATTTGGGAGCCCAATTCTCCCAGTAGGAAGTTTTTTTTCTGGATTTTTTGGTGGGGGGGAGGTTCCTCATCAAGCACCCCACGCTGAAACCCTGTGCTGAAAGAGAGCCCTTGCTATTCCTTTTTTGCTAGGGATCCCCGTTATAGGGTTTAGGATGTCAGTGTGGCAGATTCCCTAGACCCTCAACCCTATAAACCCGAAACCCTAAACCCTAAACCCTATAAACCCTGAACCCTAAACCCTATAAACCCTGAACCCTAAACCCTAAATCCCCCTCAACCGCGGTCCCCGCAACCCCCAAGCCCATAGTTCGCTCCAGGCTCCTCTGAGGAGGCATCACTTGGCCCGACGTTCTCTGTGGAGGCGCTTTGTTTCTGGAATCACAGGGTTTGTGGGCCTAGGACCTCGGACTTGAGGGTTCAGGGTTTAAGGCTTAGTGTTTAGGGTTTAGGGTTTAGGGCAGGTTTAGGGCAGGTTTAGGGCTTCCTTCCCAGGCCCCCCCAACTACTCTTAATGGGGATTCCAGGGCAGGTACTTAGCAGTTTAGGTTTCAGGTCCTCAGAACAGAGGGCATACAGGGCATGCAATATAGCATTCATTTTGGTGTTTAGTTCGCATGTTTGTTTGCTCCCATCTGTGCTTCGCTGCCACGCATGTGCCTTCACATGCCGCTGCCCACATGTTAGGTGCTGGAAGAAGAGATGAACGGCGAGGCAAGGCCAAGCAATGGAATGTTAGGTCTCGCCGGCGCCATGAACCACTTTCTAGACACAATGTTCTGGTTCTTTGCTGCAATCGCGGACTCTGCTACAAACATCATTAAACATTGCTTAGGATGTCGGGGGTTCAGGCTTCAGGTCCCGACGGGGTCTGCAGAGCAACCGCCCTGACTCACCAACCTTCTTTCGGTCCTAATGAGAGCTTGTAGGGGTTTCTGTAGGGGGGGGGGGGGCATCAGAAGACCTGCTTGAGAAGCGGAAGGATTGTTGTAGCATTGCACCCACGGAATGGTGCTTGCGGGTTCCGGGCGGAACCCTTGTCGGCTTAGGGCTTAGGTTGGCGACAACCCTTCGCAAACGGCGTTAGCTGTTGGCTCAGAGACCTGCCCTCACCAGCCTCGTCTGCGTCCTGCGGCTTCTTTGCCACCATGTACCCTGGATTCAGTACTACTATAGCATGTACTATGTTGTATGGTGTACCCCAGGCCACAACATGTAGTAAAGTCAGAAGCAGCGTAGCAGGTATGATACAAAGAGAGTACGTCATACAGTATACTGCTCCTGCTGTACCAGGCTGAGTCATGCGCGAGTTGGTGCCCACGTTTCCGGTAGGATCTGCTTAGCAAGCCAGGTACGTCTTGATGCGCAGCGCCAGCCTCCTGAGCCTCCTGGGCTCAGTCCACGGCGTGACCTTGAGGTTCGGCATGGACATCGACCCTCGTCTGTCTGTTCGTTCTTTTTTTTGCCTGGTGAGGGTTTGCGTGGGTTTGGTTGAAAGGCCTTGGCAAAGACAGATAGAGCCGGCTAGCCCGCCCTAGGATTGGCCCCCCTACGCATACAAGAACACGACGACGGGTGAGCTCGCTGGCATCGGCAAGGACATCGCGGACGGCATGACTGCGCTCTGTGACAACCTGACCATCGAGTCGGTGGAGACGGGCTGGCTGAACTGCTGGACTTCAGATGGCAAGCTCGGGCCACTGCTCGAGAATGGGACCTTGGACGCTTGCATGACGTACAGCCATGGCCGTGGACTCCGTGACACCCTGGCTGACTGGTCCCTCGCCATCCTTGACGACAACAAGCCGGCGGGTCTCATGACCTTGCTCTTGAACGGCAAGCCGGTGGTCAGCGGCATGGACGACTTGGCCGGGAAGACGATCATCGACGTTGGTGGTTGGGCTCCGACGGCAGATGGACTGGGCTACGTGACCAACAAGTGCACCAACCAGCCCTACTCGTCCAACTACACCCTGGTGGTCGGCCCCGAGAACGACGATGCCATGCGGATGCTGCGCAACGGCGAGGGTGATGCGGTGTTCCTCTATGCGGACCAAGCTCACCTCTACCAGTGTGCCTCCGCAGACGTGGCGGCAGAATGGGATTGCAGCCTTTGGTCAGGCTTCGGCACAGAGTTCGCCTACGTCCAGACGGGGCAGAAGGGCTGGGCCGTCAACGGCACGACTTTGGCGATGACCAAACCCGGCTCGGCTGTGCCGGGGCTGATCAACTCATGCCTTGCCAGCTTCATGGAAACCAAGGAGTACTACGACATCTGCGTCAAGCACGGCTTTGAGAGCTCCTGCTATCCGAACAGCTTCTTCCCAAGCGGATCAGCAAACTCAGCCAGCTATGACAAGCCGACGAACGAGCTCACCGGCGACTGCTCTGGCGGGTATTGCCCGTGCAGTGTGGAAGCAGCGCCAACAACGACAACCTCAGCAGGCCCGACGTCGAGCGGTGCTGTGGAGGTGAGCTTGGGATCCCTTGCTGGCCTGATCTCCATGTCTCTTCTCTGAGCTGAAGCCTTTTCATGTTTTCAATGGTGTTTGACAGCTTGAATTTGAGTTCTGTTTTGGATCCACGAGCCTGCTGTGAGGCAGTCTACATAGTAGCTCGCTACACAGCAGCCGCTTTGAAGCGCAGAAGCTGCAAGAAGCCAGGAAGGCTCCGAAGCAGCTACTGATCTTCATGCACGACATCTCGTTTCAAGACTGACCCTTGCACGTCTTTTGGGGGGCTGGCAGACTTGCTAGAGACCCCCCCCCAAACATGTACTGAAGCACGAAAGCCACAAGTCGCGAAATGCGATTGCCGGCCGAATGGAGCACCGGTACTCCAGGCTGGACTCGCGCAGTGCACACCGACGCACGTGCTCGAGTGCAAGGCGACTGCAAAGTGATGAACCACCTTCTGCGTAATTTCAGAGAAATCCTAAACCCTAAGCCCTCATTAAACTTCTTTCAACTTTAATCAACCCTTACGCAACCACTGAACACTAAGCCCTAAACCCCTAAACCCTTAAACCCTAAACCCTATAAACTGAACCCCTCGACCCTCAACCGATACAGATTTGCCGCCGGCTCCCAAACCGGAAAGGTGCCTGCGGGCCCAGGGAGTTGGCAACAACCCTTCGGAAAAGGCGTTAGCTGTTGGCTCAGAGACCTGCCCTCACCAGCCTCGTCTGCGTCCTGTGGCTTCTTTGCCACCATGTACCCGGGATTCAGTACTACTATACTAGCATGTATACTATGTTGTACGATGTACCTTTTTTGCGTGTACTACAGCATGGATAGTAAAGTTTTTCGCAGCGTAGCAGGCATGATACAAAGAGTACGACATGCTATAGCATACTGCGCCGAATACGTCTTGCTGTACTAGGCTGAGTGAGTCGTGCGCGAGTTGGTGCCCACGTTTCCGATAGGATCTGCTTAGCAAGCCAGGTACGTCTTGATGCGCAGCGCCAGCCTCCTGAGCCTCCTGGGCTCAGTCCACGGCGTGACCTTGAGGTTCGGCATGGACATCGACCCTCGTCTGTCTGCTCGTTCTTTTTTCTTGCCTGGTGAGGGTTTGCGTGGGTTTGGTTGAAGGGCCCGGGCAAAGTCAGATAGAGCCGGCTAGTCCGCCCTAGGATTGGCCCCCCTACGCATACAAGAACACGACTACGGGTGAGCTCGCTGGCATCGGCAAGGACATCGCGGACGGCATGACTGCGCTCTGTGACAACCTGACCATCGAGTCGGTGGAGACGGGCTGGCTGAACTGCTGGACTTCAGATGGCAAGCTCGGGCCACTGCTCGAGAATGGGACCTTGGACGCTTGCATGACGTACAGCCATGGCCGTGGACTCCGTGACACCCTGGCTGACTGGTCCCTCGCCATCCTTGACGACAACAAGCCGGCGGGTCTCATGACCTTGCTCTTGAACGGCAAGCCGGTGGTCAGCGGCATGGACGACTTGGCCGGGAAGACGATCATCGACGTTGGTGGTTGGGCTCCGACGGCAGATGGACTGGGCTACGTGACCAACAAGTGCACCAACCAGCCCTACTCGTCCAACTACACCCTGGTGGTCGGCCCCGAGAACGACGATGCCATGCGGATGCTGCGCAACGGCGAGGGCGATGCGGTGTTCCTCTATGCGGACCAAGCTCACCTCTACCAGTGTGCCTCCGCAGACGTGGCGGCAGAATGGGATTGCAGCCTTTGGTCAGGCTTCGGCACAGAGTTCGCCTACGTCCAGACGGGGCAGAAGGGCTGGGCCGTCAACGGCACGACTTTGGCGATGACCAAACCCGGCTCGGCTGTGCCGGGGCTGATCAACTCATGCCTTGCCAGCTTCATGGAAACCAAGGAGTACTACGACATCTGCGTCAAGCACGGCTTTGAGAGCTCCTGCTATCCGAACAGCTTCTTCCCAAGCGGATCAGCAAACTCAGCCAGCTATGACAAGCCGACGAACGAGCTCACCGGCGACTGCTCTGGCGGGTATTGCCCGTGCAGTGTGGAAGCAGCGCCAACAACGACCACCTCAGCAGGCCCGACGTCGAGCGGTGCTGTGGAGGTGAGCTTGGGATCCCTTGCCGGCCTGATCTCCATGTCTCTTCTCTGAGCTGAGGCCTTTTCATGTTTTCAATGGTGTTTGACAGCTTGAATTTGAGTTCTGTTTTGGATCCACGAGCCTGCTGTGAGGCAGTCTACATAGTAGCTTGCTACACAGCAGCCGCTTTGAAGTGCAGAAGCTGCAAGAAGCCAGGAAGGCTCAGAAGCAGCTACTGATCTTCATGCACGACATCTCGTTTCAAGACTGACCCTTGCACGTCTTTTGGGGGGCTGGCAGACTTGCTAGAGACCCCCCCCAAACATGTACTGAAGCACGAAAGCCACAAGTCGCGAAATGCGATTGCCGGCCGAATGGAGCACCGGCACTCCAGGCTGGACTCGCGCAGTGCACACCGACGCACGTGCTCGAGTGCAAGGCGACTGTAAAGTGATGAACCACCTTCTGCGTAATTTCAGAGAAACCCTAAACCCTAAGCCCTCATTAAACTTCTTTCAACTTTAATAAACCCTTACGCAACCACTGAACACTAAACCCTAAACCCCTAAACCCTTAAACCCTAAACCCTAAACTGAACCCCTCGACCCTCAGCCGATACAGATTTGCCGCCGGCTCCCAAACCGGAAAGGTGCCTGCGGGCCCAGGGAGTTGGCAACAACCCTTCGGAAAAGGCGTTAGCTGTTGGCTCAGAGACCTGCCCTCACCAGCCTCTTCTGCGTCCCGTGGCTTCTTTGCCACCATGTACCCGGGATTCAGTACTACTGTAATAGCATGTATACTACGTTGTACGATGTACCTTTTTTGCGTGTACTACAGCATGGATAGTAAAGTTTTTCGCAGCGTAGCAGGCATGATACAAAGAGTACGACATGCTATAGTATTATAGCATACTGCGCCGAATACGTCTTGTTGTACCAGGCTAAGTGAGTCGTGCGCGAGTTGGTGCCCACGTTTCCCATAGGATCTGCTTAGCAAGCCAGGTACGTCTTGATGCGCAGCGTCAGCCTCCTGAGCCTCCTGGGCTCAGTCCACGGCGTGACCTTGAGGTTCGGCATGGACATCGACCCTCGTCTGTCTGCTCGTTCTTTTTTTTTGCCTGGTGAGGGTTTGCGTGGGTTTGGTTGAAGGGCCCGGGCAAAGACAGATAGACAGA